AAATTTAAACTTTCATCCTTTTCACTAAATCGAAAAATACAAACCTCTTCAACCGTTTCCCACATATCGGACTCATTTTCGTTTGTTATTACCAAACTCGTCTCATCGATTATCAGCGTACCATCCTCCGCTAGTTTCACCTATCAAAAAGCAGCTAGTTGAAAAAAAAAAAATTGAAAATTAGTGCAAAACAACATGTTTGATAACTCAGATTGGTAAATGGTCTCCTTCAGTGTTAAAAAGACAGGAAAGGCAGTCATTGCGGAGCAGGGGTTCGGCTGTGCGGCTACGTGGAATTATTTGGATAAGAGAAGCTCAAAACAGAAAAAAAGTGGAAAAATTGTAATAGTTGCATCAATGGTGAAAGGAAACATGATGAGGAAATACTGTGGTAGTAGAAGCATCTAAAACCAATTGAATTAACAGAACGTAAATCTTTATTTCACATCGTGTTGTAAAAAGCAGTGGCCAAATAGTGGCCAAGGAGAAAATCCAGCAGTTCTAAGTATGCCGAGGACGCTGTATGCCGTATTTTGTCCATCTAAGATTGAATCAGTACAAATTACTGTCGGCTTGACTAAACAAGTGAAAATGCAGTGTAACAGTTATGCAAAATATGCACTATAGGGAGGCAAAAGACAAGCTGTACGACATGCTATGAGGGAAATCGTGATGTACAGGAACTGAGATATAGAAACGACAAGTAATGGCCCTTAGAAGGCCGAATCAGAAGTGGACGGTCCAAGTGGGGCGGCCGAAGTGGGTTAAAGTGATAAAAAATTTTTTATAGAACCCGATTTTATGCACGTTTCTCACGAGACTGACAGAACTATTTTGACTTCACAAATAACTCTTGAAAATCGATACAAAATAACAGGCATATGCGAAGAAATGAAAAAAAAAAAAATAGTAGAATCTCTATTCTAGATACGATTTAAGTCGTGTGTAGGAAGAAATACTCTGTTTCATCCCTTAGCTGTAGACACAGACCGAACTATGCATGCTGGTAGGTGCGGGAATCATCAGTATAGCTTCCTACAAACACATCGTGTAATACGAGCCCAATGATTTGCTTGGCAAAGGAAAAGATAATGCTAGCAATATCGGCCTTACCATCAGCAATTATCTTTTGTCAGGCCGGCTCGTCTGGATCCACATTCCCAAGCGGGATTCAAAAAAAACTAATCGGCATTGTTCAAATTTATATGACTTAATGGACCGAAACGTCTTATCTCACTGTTACCTTCTTTTCTCATACTGTTCTTTCATGCTGTAATCTATCGCGCCTTCGTCATCTAGCCCTGTCAGAGTCAACCTGGTTGCTACAAAATCGACTTATGCTCCCACATCATGATCAGTGGCCTGTGCCGCTGCATAAGGCTATTTAAATACATCCCAGGAGTATAACCAGCAATTTCCAGTGCTCATGCTAACTGTTCTTGGCAATCCTGGCAAAAAAAAAAATCACCTGTGGAGCATTAACAGCAGACTTCGATGTTTTCTTCGGTGAACTTTCACCATCTTTCAACTGAGTAATATCCGAAACTGTTTCACTTTCCGTCCTTAGCTTTTGCATACCTTCCAGAAACCTCTTAAAAAAAACAGCTTTGTATCGCATTATACTGCTATGATTCTCAAACAAGTTAAGAATAGAAAAAAAAACGAAAACTGTACCTGATTATTTTTGACTTCGAAAAAATGAAACATAATATCTAGGATTCGCCATTTTAAGCTATTTTTTGCGGAGGATAAATTTAAACAAAAAAAAAAAAAACTTTTTTCCTACTACATTTCTTTGTACTTTCGTACTACTGCGGGTAATTTTACATTATTTCATTTAAGTTACAAAAAAATTTCCTTCTTTTCAATGAGGCACCTCATTATTCGATCTAGCAGGAGCAACTCCGCGATGAAGTGACATCTGCAAAAGCCTTGCCAAGTGTATCTACCGGGAGAACCGCTGAACCGATAATCCCTTTAGAAGATGAAATAGTAGGACTTAAGTCTTAAGTTTCATATGTCGGAGGGCATTTAACGATGTAGTTAGTTTTGTGTTTCATCCCTCAGCTGTAAACATAGACCGAGCAATGCAAGAGCCGGAATCATCACTACAGACAACACTGTAAGGATCGCCAGCAGGTATCCTACGGCGATGCAGCAGCATTGGTCGGAGTAACTGGACAAATTGTTAGCTTAGAGGATCAGGCTATAACTGAAGCTAATCAGTTCTTGTACTTTCAGCACTTGTAATTTCTAGTATGAGGAATTTCGAGGAAAATCAGAGGCTTGATATCAGTTACCTTTTCATTTTTTGGATTCCAGAAAATCAAATCCTGCATGGTCATTGTCTTCGGATCCAACGGTTCATTGCCAGTGAACTTTTTCCTGCAAAACAGGAAATTAGAATATATACCAAAATATTTTTTTAAAAAAAAGTCGAAATAATTGATACACTTTCTACTGGTAAATTTTACCAACAAAGCATACCTCGTTTTTTGTTGGCATTCACTTTTGGTTGGTGATAACTGATACCATGATGCAATGGATTGTGTCCTTACACGCTCCCCACATACCTCATCATCGTCATCATAAGCACTGCAAAAAATTTGATTTTATATCCAATTTAATTTTTGCATATCAAAAAAAATTAAATAAAATTCCGCAGAAATTAAAGAATGGATATTTTTTTTTTTGGAAAAATGTAAAATTACAGTGAGTTGTGCAGGTAGTA